GTCAAATCCTTTGGTGAACATTTATCGACGATTGACTGCAGCCTTTCGTAGAATTGATCTTTAACGTCGTCATTGTAGTCATTGGTAGGTGCATAACATTGGATGACGTTCATTGTAATGTCCTCTTTCTTTGTTTTGAAGGATGCTTTAATGATCCTCGGTCCATGCGATTCCCATCCTATCAGTGCCTTTTGTGCATGTTTGGACAGCATCAGAGAAACTCCTTGTGTATAAGAAGCATTTTCCTCCTCATGACCAGATTATACCAGCAGTCCCCCTGAAGCTAGTCTCAGTTGTCCCACTTGTGTCCAATGCTTTTCACTGATTCCAAGCACCTCGAGGTTGTATCGTTTCATTTCTGCAGCAACTTGAAATAGTCTTTCAGTCTCCCACGATGTACGAACGTTCCATGTACCTAAAAAAATGGTTGCTCTGGTTGTCAGAAGAGGCATCGGCCTCGTGACTTCCGAGGGAACTCGGCTTTCATCACGAGACGTCATAATTCTTCTTCCAACTCCCAGGGCAGAATTAAAATGGTTTGAATTATTTTTTCTGGTTAGCGTTTTTTGGCAAGTGAGATTTCAACTGAATGGGGTCGCCAACTCAATGTCCAACCCTCCTCATTTACCCTGGCTTGGGACCGGCAGTATCCCGGAAGGTTCTACTGGCGGAGTTAATACTAATGAGAACATTCTAGATAATATATAGTCTTTATCCAAAACGCTATCGGACAGACACAGGATGAATTAGAGAAGAATACGTACATTTAATTACAGACATTTGGATTGCAATTTAAGCTGTGCCGGATGTGGTGTTTGAAATAACTGGTGACTTATTGTTGTTGTTGAATGCTTGCTTTCGAATTCTAAATACAGTACATGCGTTTGTGCTCATCCCGTAGTTCTTTCATCACATACTTCTAATCATCATAGGCAGGTAGGCGTACTGCTGTAAGTCCTACTCGTTCTTCCGGTGTGGATTAGGGGATTAGTGAACCCTAAATTGAAATGTCAGAAAGGGCTTGTTTTGCATGGAGGGATTATTACTATATCTTGTACTTATAATGAAGTTTTTATATTTTATTCTGAACTCTACATATGTTGTTAAAATTCGATAATAATTATGACTACAGCCATATTTGGATTTGATACTTTAGTAGTAACCGACTGGAAGAATTTATTCTTCCAGTAACGGAACCCATTGTGGTATTTGGAAGCCCAAAGGTGTAATATCATTTTGGTAATTGTCTGTTTTTCCCTTATTCATTAAGGTAGAACCCTTTTATTCCAGAATTATCGTGTTTTATGTTCCCTGACTGAGTGAACGCGTATGAACTCGACTGTTGGAGCTTGAGTAAACTGCAAGAGACGAAAATCCATTATCCTTCTTCCCTGTCTGATGGTACTTGTTCCTCATTCCAATTCTTCTTGAAGAGAATGTGAAATATATTTGCAGTTGCTTCCACATCTGCTTTCATTCCTTCTGATAGAGTGTTCTCCGGTCCTGCTGCTTTGCCGCTCTCCATGGCATACTAACGGCCATACAGAACTATTCAATTGTATGTGTGACAACATAATTTGGAGGTCCGTAGATCCTGCTCTGATGTTCGTTGGGTTCAGTGTAGCTGGTCGATTCAAGAGTTTCCTAAAGTGCTCTACCCACCCATCTAGCTGTTCTTCAGTGTTGCTGATTATTTTGCCCTCCTTGCTTTTCACTGGACATTCTGGTTTACGATTGTTTTCGGCGAGCTTCTTTATTGTTTCTCCAACGTCATTGCTGGATCTTTGACATATTTTCGTTGGTCATCTCTGATGCTCTTTTTCACCTCCCTGTTTGCTTCTGTGTATGCAGCTTGTGCCTCAATTTTCTGTGCCATTGTCCGCCTAACGTTTAATACTGCCTTTTTGTTCCTCCCTTCTTTACCATTTTCGGATGTATCAAGAGAGATCCATTCTTTTTGATGGTACTTCCTGCGACCCAGAACTTCGTAAAATTTTGAAATGTTTGCCTACTTGATCCTTTTTCAATTTTTCCCCAATGTTGCTTTCTCTCTATTGAGTATATCATGCAAGGCCGCTAACATATTTGAGAGGGCTCTCTTGAATTCGTTTAGCTTAACAGTATTTCGAAGAAAGGCCGTAATAAACTTCTGTGATGTTGTCTGCCTCGTTGTCCAGTGCTGCTTCGATGATGGGTCAGTTCAGTGGAGCTGATCGATTCAATAGTTCCTTAAAGTGCTCCACCCACCTATTTCGCTGTTCGTCAGTGTTGCTGATTATGTTACCTTCCTTGCTTTTCACTGGTCGTTCTGGTTTACGATAGTTTCCGGCGAGCTTATTTGTTGTTTCATACAATTGTCTCAAAATTCTGTCTCTTGCAGCCTTTTCCGCCGTCATCGCTAGATCTTCCACATATTTTCGTTTGTCAGCTCTGATGCTCTTCTTCACTTCCCTGTTTACTTCTGTGTATGCAGCTTGTGCTTTAACTTTCTCTGTTCTTGTTCGGCTGACATTGATTGCTGCCCTTTTGTTCCTCCTTTCTTCAATTTTTTTCAATAGTAGCAACAGAGATCCATTCCTTGTGATGGTGCTTCTTGCTTCTTGCCGTATTAAACTTCTGTGATGTTTTCTGCCCCGTAGTCCAATGCTTCTTTAGTTTCAGTTTCATTTTGACGGTCAGTAAATGGTTATCTGAGGCTATATCAGCCCCTCTCTTTGTTCTCACATACTACATGGTCCTTCTGAAAGTTTTGTTGATACAGATATGGTCAATTTGGTTTTGAGTAGTGTTGTCCAGTGAAATCCGTGTAGCTTTGTGCATGCGTTTGTGTGTATATACTGTGTCACCCATGACTAGTTTCTTGAAGACACCCATCGTCCCATGATGTTTCCATATCCAGTGTTGTTGTCCATGACAAAGTTTGCACTCAGATCTCCCATAAGTATCGTCAAATCTTTTAGTGTGCATTTATCGACTATTGATTGCAGCCTTTCGTAGAATTGATCTTTAACGTCGTCATTGTGGTCATTGGTAGGTGCGTAGCATTGGATACGGTCATTGTAATTTCTTATTTGCTTGTTTTGAAGGATGATTTGATGATCCTGGGTTCATGAGTTTCGCATCCTATCAGCGCCTTTTGTGCTTGTTTGAACTGCATCAGTGCAACTCCCTGTGTATTTGAAGCATTTTCCATCTTATTAGAAAAGTGTAACAGCAGTTCACCTGAAGCTAGTCTCAGTTGTCCTACCTGTGTGCAGTGTGTTCCATGGATGCCGAGCACTTCAAGGTGTCATTTATGCCGCAACTTGAAATAGTCTTCACGTCCCCCACAATGTACGAACGTTTCCTAAACCTAACAGAATGTTTTCTCTGGTTGTCAGAAGGAGGGTCAGCCTCCGAAAGAACTCAGCTTTTATCACCTGACGTCAAATTTCTTCCTTCAACTCCCAGGGCAGAGTGAAAATGGTTCAATTAAATTTCCCGAGTTGGCGTTTCTTGGCAAGTTAGATTCAGTTGAGTTAGATGTGCTTACCCCATATCTAATCCCTCCTTCTTTATCCGGTTCTACGACCAACAGTAAACCCGAAGAGACAACAGGCGGAGTTATTCAGTATTGATTCATGTTCTCATATCTGATTAAAACCTATTTGAAATGTTGATCTACTTGCATAGTATCAGAATGCTTTTCACTGATATTATTCTTGACCGGCTGAATACATCCAGTTTAGTGAAATTTGTCTGGCGAAATCTCCGAGATCGGAGAATCATGTGTTGATAATTTTACTTTTTGGTGTATTTGTTTTCCCCTATAAAAGTGTGGTGTGAGCTACTTATTAGTAGTATATGACATGAGCGTCAACATAATGTCTGGCAGCAGAAGATGGGGGAAGATCAAGAAAGGAAGATTTAGAAAACAATGGAATTTGTATGAAACGCATGAATGGTGACAATGGATTGATGTTTTGCAACAGGAACAGTCCAGTTCGATATGATGAACTGATATTTTGCAAATTAACGATTTACGATGTGGTTTTCTGATTGCACTGAGTCCGTCTGTAATTTTCGTGAAATACAATCCGGTTGCCTCACCTGTGTTCTCGTTCACTACAACAGTACACGACTTTTTCATATTTATTATTGCTTATGGATGAAGAATAAACCTTTGTGTTTCCACACAAAAATTTTTGTTGTTGGCATCTCTTCTTATTACCAACATGCTAGCTGCGTTTGTTGCCATCGGAATGATGGTAATGGTAATGATATAAGTCAAGCTTAACTACTTTTCATTCGGAACACCGCATCAATAACTATCACTATGTTTAAAATATTCATCGAGCAAAACTCTGCATTCATTGAAAGTGGTTTTGCGCTCAGTTGAATAATGAGACACAGAATCGAATCGATCGTGTACTACGTCCACTGACTAACGAACAATTCACTTCTCAAAACCTCCGGTAACTTTATATTTTACAATTACTTAACTTAGTTTATGATTTACCCGTATCATTATAATAACATGAAAACAACTGTGTTAATTGAGGACCCGAATATATTTAAAAATAGTGATTTATTCCCATTCCATATTTTTTATTACAATGTTCTCTCACGCCCATTCAATTTCCTCATTCCACTTTGTATAAGACTAATTATGTTACATAATCTGAGTTAATGAGTTTTTATTCATTACATTTTCGTTTGCTTTATAAAAATATGCTTAACATAATACAATTGTTAAATTGTTCTGTTGTGACAATCTGTAGAAAAAAACAATCAGGTATCATTTGCATGAAGGGATTCACCTAAACAAATTAGTTGAAATTGGTGAATTATTCTGATTAGTTTGTTCATGATCTGAATATAGATGTGGTGAATTCATCAGATTTTTTGAGTACTGAGAGTGAGTCATCAATGATTTTTTTCAACAAATTTGTTTATCCATCAAGTTAATCAGCTTCAATGATGTGATCGATTGACTTTGTGAGCATGCATGGAATTTGTCATTAGATTGATTGATTTGTCCATTCAGGATTGACTGAGGTGTAATCTGAAACATTCTGTGCATCATGGAAATATAATTTAGATGAATCGTAGTTATTTGGTTGATGTAATATTTGTAAATGAGTAGAATATCTAAGTATAGTATATTTTGATGGATCAGTATTATTGAGTGTTTGATGATCTGAAGAATCATGATTCATTTCATGTGCTATTGGTTTTTGAACGGACGAAACTGAGCTTCGCTTTCTTGATGCAATTGGAATCCAAGATGCTAAATCAATAAACAGAAATAATCTAATGAATCCATGGGATTCTGATCTCAGAATATGATTCATTTTATGTTTACGACTGTTACAGAATAGTTGACTTTTTACTAAAATATTTGTGGTAGATTTTTCAAATTTAGCCCCTTCGCATTAGAAGTGTTTTGACGTTTGTATTAGAAATTCCGCCTTCGGTATTTTGAGACATATTTTGAGGTGTTAGATAATGTTCAGTTTTTGAAACGTAACACCAGACCTCCCTTGTGGTGCCTCCACAAAAAATTCAGTTCGCTCATATTTAATTTGACTGAGTATTTTGATTAACTCATGTAACCAAGCTATTTGTATGGCAACAACTCATATGTGGCATTGATATTTTTTATTATCTCGTTTGTGTGAGCTTGAACGACTGAGCATTGTTTACGCCTACGCGCTTACTCATCCTTTTTCCTTATATGTCAATTTCTGTATATCCCCATGAACACATATGATTTCTATCGCTTGCTTTCGACCTTGTCAATCATTCGTTGCATTTATTCATGTGTGTGCATATCTATTTCGCTTGTCAAATGTCTGTCTTATTTTTGTATGACTATGAATCCTTAGTCATGCTTTGTCTCAGTGAGTTGGCTTTTTGCCTTCTCCAACGCGCAGCTGGACGGCATCACCAAAATTTGACTTCATCATTTTAAATGAATTGAGCATCGAGTGCAGAATGGATAATGAAATAAACATACTCGCAATAACCTACTGCAGAAAGGTTGAAACACAATTTTGTAATTGTGATTCATTTGTTTATTCGCGGATTAAGTACCGTTCACTGACTGGAAAAGCCGTAAACTTCGAAACCGTTATATTTTATTACTAATGCAGTGTCTCTAAGACAACTGATGAGTAACGTATATCGATTTGAAAGAAAAATTATGCACTTATCACTTATACGATCAAAAAATACGTGATAGGTTACTACGTCACAGTATTGATGGTTTCACTATGTCAAGTATCGACGTTTACTTTTATGAGCCTTTGACAGGTTAGTGTAAAAGAAAGACTAGATTGTGATAAATAAATTTATGAATATGGCACCGACATTATGAGCATGCATGAACTGAACAGTAGTTGCCTGTATGTGGCTTTTTATATTTTATCTAATTTATTTACTAATATGTAATTTTTTTAGAACCGTTACTAGCTTTGATTGATTTTGAAAATTTTGATACCTTTGAGATGAGCGACTCATTCCTTAGTCTGGTTTTCTCACCTTCCACGTTTGGCAATTTTAACTTACTAACAACTAACAAATGGGAGTGGCGGTAATGCTTTGATTGTTGATGAATGTTTGAAATAACCTAATAGTTTTATGCTTATAATACATCTTCTGGCTTATCATATAAACATTCAGATTCACCATTTTATTTATTGACTACCTGCTGATCTGAATTTTTTTTAAAATCCAAGAAATTATTTGAGATAATTTATATTGAATGAAAAGTATCAATGTTGTGTAGCAGTATCAAGGAAAATTGAAATATTTATAATCTTAAATTATTATCGAAAACAGTTCTCATTTGCGTTCAGCCTCACTTTTACACCGGAATATTCAGTAAAATTACCGAATTTAGGGTGGACTTTTTTTCCTTCATCTGTCGCTGTTTGCGAGTTTCGATGTTTACAATTTGCTCTCCAACTTCCGCATAGTGCTTGTTACTATTATTATTTAACGAGAGGTTCGTCTAACGAGGCAGTATCTTTGATGAATGCGTTGAGGTGATAAGTTACTTTTTTTGCTGTATTGTTGATTAACTGCTTGACGTGTGAGCATTTGTAGGTTCATTTTCGGTCGAGCCAGTATTTTTGCACAAAAATTATCATCGTGAGAATCGTATATGATGTGACTTGTAGAATTACAAATGACTCTATGCATCGGATTAGTTATGGAGAAGGCGCAACTGCATTTAGGTTATATAAGTTTATATCTATAAGGAGTACCAAATATCCTTAGTGCCATCTTGTACACGCGTTTTCAAACGCCCTGTATTTCCTGCAGATAGGATTCAGCTTGATTAGTTCCATTTATCAATTACCCCACGCTGTTACTTGTGTTACAGTCCTACCAAAAATACGTCCATGTTTTCGCAGTTAAATAAGTTGATTGATAAGCCGGACATCGAGAAGAATTTCATTATTACTTTTATCCTACGTAGTTGATATATTCTTTGAAACGATAGGGTCGAAAGTTGCAGATAAATGCTTCCTAAACCAATCAATTCTATACTGAATGAAAAATTTGCTTAATATCTAAAAATGTCTTTGTTAGATAAAGCACAAAATTAAGTTATTCTATCACAAAGTTTGACCAATACGTGACAAATGATTGAAACATTTTTCATTGTTTTGTAGTGTGCCGATTTAATGCGTGTTCTTACGTTTCGTAATAAGCTCGTTCAGATTGTCTTATTAAAATGACGTCTGACGGTTAATAAATCAGAAGATGAACGCCAAGTATCGTATACGTTTATTGTAGCACACCACAATAAGGATAGCAGAGAAGCGAATTGGAGAAGGCTAAGAGCCAACTCAAAGAGATAGAGTATGACTAAGAATATATAGTCAGATAAGAATAAGACAGACATATGACAAGCGAAATAGATATGCACAGACATGAATAAAGGCGACGAATGATTGACAAGGTCAAATGACAAGCGATACAAATCATGTGAGTTCATGGGAATATTACGAGATTAACATTAAAGCAAAAAGGATGAGTAAGTGCGTAAGCGTAAGCAATGCTCAGTCGTACAAGCTAATACAAACCAGATAATAAAAAATATCAATGGTACATACAAGTTGTTGCTAAGCGAATGGCTTGGTTAAAGAAATTAATCGAAAGGGCTTAAGCAAATTAAATGTAAGAGAACTGGAATATATGTGAAGGCACTACAGTTTCATTGATCGTTTTCTACCAACGAATTAGAAATGATTTTTAACGTCTTAAATTCATGTAAACCGAACCAGTAGTACGAAAATTGTTTGAGTGATTTGGAAAAATAGATGTTTCTGTTTACTGATACTGGTTAGTCGAATTTTAACAAGACTCACATTAACCCTGGTTACACAGAATCGATTTTTTCAATAATTATTTAAGTGAATGCAGATAATCAATCATTTTGTATTTCGAATAATTAAACACAGGTGCACTTGTTCTTCTGGAACCTCGAAACAGTTTAACTGGCGATAGTAAAATTCTATTACTTCAATTGCCGACAGAAGGCTATGTGCTTCAAAATTGGACAACTGGTGAGTAACTCTGATATCTTAAACAGTTTTTCTTCTTTTACCACATATTTCATTCATTTATTACAACTGATTGGCCTCATTATTGTGACAAAATTTGTCAACATAACTTCGCCAGTAGAACCTTCGGGATTGATGCCGGTCCAAAGCTTGAATAAAGGAGGAGGGTTAGACATGGTGTTGGCGACCCCATTCCGTCGAAATCTCACTTGCCAAAAAAGCGCTAACCAGAAAAAATAATTCAAACCATTTTAATTATGACGTCTCGTGATGAAAGCCGAGTTCCCTCGGAAGTCACAGGGCTGATGCCTCTTCTGACAACCAGAACAACCATTTCTTTAGGTACATGGAACGTCCGGACATCGTGGGAGACTGGAAGACTATTTCAAGTTGCTGCAGAAATGAAACGATACAACCTCGAGGTGCTCGGCATCAGTGAAACGCATTGGACACAGGTAGGACAACAAAGACTAGCTTCAGGGGGACTGCTGGTATAATCTGGTCATGAGGAGGAAAATGCTTCACATACACAAGGAGTTGCACTGATGCTGTCCAAACATGCCCAAAAGGCACTGAGAGGATAGGATTCTCATGGACCGAGGATCGTTAAAGCATCCTTCAAAACAAAGAAAGAGGACATTACAATGAACGTCATCCAATTTTATGCACCTACCAATGACTACAATGACGACGTTAAAGATCAATTCTACGAAAGGCTGCAGTCAATAGTCGATAAATGTTCACCAAAGGATTTGACGATTCTTATGGGAGACCTGAATGCCAAGGTTGGAATGGACAACACTGGATATGAAGACATCATGGGACGACATGGACTGGGAGAAAGGAACGAAATTGGTGAGAGATTTGCAAACCTATGTGCCTTCAACAAACTGGTCATCGGTGGCACAATATTCCCGCACAATCGCATTCACAAAGCCACATGGATTGCACTGGACCACACTACTCAAAACCAAATTGACCATATCTGTATCAACAAAAAGTTCAGAAGGACCATGTAGTATGTGAGAATCAAGAGAGGAGCTGATATAGCTTCAGATCACCACTTGCTGATCGCCAAAATGCGACTGAAGCTAAAGAAGCACTGGACAACGGGGAAGACAACATCACAGAAGTTTAATACGGCAAGAAGCAAGAAGCACCATCACAAGGAATGGATCTCTGTTAGTACTATTGAAAAAAAATTGAAGAAAGGAGGAACAAAAGGGCAGCAATCAATGTCAGCCGAACAAGAACAGAAAAAGTTAAAGCACAAGCTGCATACACAGAAGTAAACAGGGAAGTGTAGAAGAGCATCAGAGCTGATAAACAAAATAATTTGGAAGATCTAGAAATGACGGCGGAAAAGGCTGCAAGAGACGGAATTTTGAGAAAATTGTACGTAACGACAAAGAAGCTCGCCGGAAACTATCGTAAACCAGAACGACCAGTGAAAAGCAAGGAAGGTAACATAATCAGCAACACTGAAGAACAGCGAAAAAGGTTAATAGGGCACTTTAAAGAACTATTGAATCGACCAGCTCCACTGAACCGAACCAACATCAAAGTAGCATCCAAGGACCTCTCAATTAATATTGGCCTACCTACAATTTAGGAGATCAGTATGGTTTAGAGACAAATCAAGAGCGGTAAAGCAGCAAGACCAGACAATATACCAGCAGGGGCAATGAAAGCAGATGTAGAAGCAACTGCGAAAATATTTCACATTCTCTTCAAGAAGATTTGGCATGAAAAACAAGTACCATCAGACATTGGAGAAG